AATATCTCTGATGCAAAAATGTCTACATTAATGGCGGTAAGGCCTGCCGCTCCAGGAGGCAAGAGACATTTCACATTGAGAGTAACTGCCAGCACTGATTGGTCTGTTGCCTACTTGATTGATTGACTGGTGGCCTCACATCCTCGTCTTATTATTTATCCCAACAAATGAAGCTGCACTTATTTGTCCCTTTTTTCCCCCGTTCAAACTTTCATTCTTAGAAACACTGAATTATCGGTTTCTAGTAGCTTCAAGCTAAAACAATCAAACACTTCTACTTACATATCACCCCATGTGATCAAGCTGTGCAGAAACATTCGCTTTTTTTTGGATAAACAACTGAAAGGAATTCAGCTTTCTATGTTATCCTAACTAAGTGGGACGGATGTTTCGAGGATTATGTATTCATTTCTTTCCTGCAGGATCAATAAGTGTAACAGGCTGAGGTAAAGTGGGTCTAACTGGAAACAGGAAGTGTTTTCATCACTGAGGGTTAAAACTAAATTCCTAAGTCCAAAAATGAACAAATGCACAAAACATGTTGAACGTCATATTTTCAGGTAGAGCCATTATGCAATCCAAAAGCCTAAAATAGGATGTCCAAACCGGAGCGCTTTGACTTTAAGCACCAGTAGAGCCTCAGCAGACGTGGTGGCAATTTGCCCCGGCACTATTTCTAGCGTCTGCCTCAGCCTGTGAATCATTCAGAACATGGTAAGAGCAGAGCCTGTTCCCAGGAGTTGGTGGGTGGTGCAAACATGTTGGCAGGAACCCCTGCAGCAGACCTGAACTCCCTTCATGAAGCGGCGTGGAGCCAAGCAGTCAGAGCACATGCATGTGTGGGTTGGCGGCCATTCTGCTTACCTCTTTGTGGTCCTCCACCACACTGAGCAATGTGTCAATAGTGTTGAGGATGCCCATTGCCGTCACCGCTTTATCATCGCCTCCCTCCTCATCGGGCCCCGTCTGAATCACCTGGTTGAACGTCATCGCCTGCCAAAATGCAAACAAACATGTTTCTATGATGGGGAGCCACACTGATGCCTTCTCCCTTTGTTTAGAGAAAGACATTGATTATCAGAGACTACTCTACGTACCAAATGCTGCGTCATCTCCACGGCGATGGGAGTGACCTCCTCACTGTATTCACAGATCATCTTTTGTATGACGTTTGTCAGGTCATCATTCTCCGTTTCCCTGACTATATGCAGGAGAGCCTGCATCACCGGCCGAATGTAGGGAGCAATATATTCTTTGGCTGACAGAAAAAAAAAACAACAACATTTTATTAGATATGTCCATTATGCATTTAATTACTCAAACCTTTCACTGACCGCAGCCTCACCTTTCTCCTGGTTGCTGATGAGAACCTGCAGAGCGATGGCTGCCTCCACCTTTACCGGCATCTCGTTGTCATTAATGAGGCAGTTTCGGGTCAGCTCGAGAGCCGTCTGGAGGTTTTGGTCACTTTTGAACTTCACTTCGCAGAAGTAATGCAGCACCCAGCAGGCCTTTAAAGAAATAAGATATTAAGATGATGTGGCAAGACAAGCTGAGAGCAAAAATCCACTCAAGTATGACTGGCTTTACACACTCACTCTGGCTCTCATGTAGCCCAGTTCACTGCGGAACAGGGGGAAGACATGATTCTGCAACATGAACTCCATCTGGTCTTTGTAGATCTTTTTCTGTGAAAGAAATGATGATTAAATGCATGCTTTGAGTTTCAACCAAAACTCAGCAAAAGCTGTAAATTATATTCAAAATATGAACTGTGCACAACTGCCACAGGGAAAAAAAAAAATCCTCCAAATATAAAAGTCTAGGATGTCTGTGAGGAGCGTGCAGCCTCTCTCCTCCAGGCTTTGTTGTGCTCAGCAAGGGGCCGCTACCTGTGCTTCCTTCCCCAGTGTCTGACGCGCAACGATAAAAGCATGACGATCATGAAAACAAGAGTCAAGCAGCACAACTGAAACTCCATGACGCAGGATCTTTTCCTGCATCAAACACTAAAGATTTCAATAAACTTCTTTCATTCTGAAATGGCTGGAAACGCAGAGGAAGAAGTGACATTATGTTCCCCCAGTGTTTCTAGAAAGTTACCATGGAACACCAATAACCCTGACAAGCGTAGTGTTTGTGCTCAAGGAGGAAATTTGATTTTATCGTTTGATCAAGACTTTTTATGCCCATCAAAAAAACAAAAAAATTTAGTAGCTTGTTCACCTAGAGAAACAGTCTTCATCGTTTGATTATTTCACCATGAAACTCTTTGGGGAACGTTCTCAGATTTAAAGGCACAGTAAAATTCCCGAAACAGAGTGCATTTGATGTGTTAAAGGTTGATGTTGGGTTCCTAAACATTTTTAAGCGGAAATAATACTTAGACAACTTTAATTGTCATTTTGTATACAAAGAGTGTATAAAAAAACGAAATTTCATTTAGTACAGCTCTCATGACATTTCAATTTCTTAATGTGCAGCAGTGATACAATTGTAAACATTGGTAGAAAAAAAAACATTGATATGATGAGATTGATGCAGAGTCTGTGACTTGATTTAGAGTTTTTTTCAACAGTTCAGCTGTCTGATGGTGGTGGGGAAGAAGCTGTTTCAGAATCTGCTGGTCCTGCACTGAATGCTGCAAAGCCTCAACTCAGAGGGCAGCAGGGAGAACAGTCCATGGTGGGGTGTTTGATAATGTTACGGGCTCAGGACACGCAGCTCTGGGAATATGCGTTCAAACACAAACTTTAAGTTTGTACTTTCAACTTTCACATTCAAACCAATTTAAATGGTATTTAAGGAAATAAAACAGGCTGTTTATATAGAAATTCTGTTGAATATTCATATTTTAAACCAAAATGCCAAGTTTGCTATTAATATTTTAGAGTAAATCTCTTCAGGCTGAGCTAAAAAAAAACATGACGTATTACCACGTGTAGAAGAGCTCTGCTTACCTTCAGCAGGATTTCAGCCAGAGAGCCAATCATATGCAGGGCTCCATCTTTTTTCCTGGGGTCTGAACTGGGATCAGTGAGAATCTGGTAGCAGAAGCCCATCGTCTTTTGAAGTACCTGGAAAAAAAATACATACATCTTATTTTTTTATTTATTTACAAATATACTGTTCTGCAATAATTATTGTTTAAGCATGGAAAAAGCTGCATGTCAGGGTACAGAGAAAAAAAAAAAAAAAA